CTTTACCACCTACTCTGATTCAGAGATCCCTTAGCCCTGTTTTTTTTTCCCCCTAAGTTTTATTTATTTTGTTGCTGCTATTGAGAATACACATAGCAAACCATACATTAATTCAACAGTTTCTACATATACAATTTAGTGACACTGATTACATTATTCAAGTTGTGCAACCATTTTCATCCTCCTTTTCTGACTTGTTTCTCCCTCATTAACATCAAGTCACTGCCCCTCAGGTTCCTATCTAATCTTTTGAGTTGCTGTTGTCAATTTGATCCTATATAGATAGTTCTTAAAAGAACATAATACTCAAGACAGACATTTTTCACTAGTTAAGCGAAAGTACTGTTCAGCTTTAAGAAGACTTCATGGGATATTTTTGGTTTAAGGTTTAAAGATTATCTCCGCTAGCCTCCATGGCTCAGAAAGTCTGGAGTGCATGAGAATTTGAAATTCTGCTCTGCACTTTCCCCCTTTTGATCAGGATCCTTCTATGGAATCTTTGATCAAAAGTTCAATGGGAGCCGAGCACCATCCAGCTCTTCTGTTCTCACGGTAAAGGAGGCTGGTGTTCATAGAGGCAATTAGCCACACATTCCATATCCTCCTTCTATTCCTGATGCTCCTTCTTCCTGTTGCTCCAGGTGAATGGAGACCTATTTCTGTGCCTTAGCCACTTTTATCTGAGATATTTTAATAATGCTATGTTGTTGCTAATAGAGCTCTAGTGACTCAGTGATTAAGGCATTCAGCTGCCTACCAAAAAGTGAAACCCACCAGCCACTCCATAGGAGAAAGATGTGACAATTTGCTTCTGTAAAGATTTATAGCCTTGGAAACCCTATGGAGCAGTTCTACTCTGTCCTATAGGGTTGTTGTGAGTTAGAATCAACTCTACGGCAGTGGGTTTTGTTTTTGGTTATGTTGTTGCTTTTGTATGTTATAGAGTCAATTCCAACTTATGGTGACCCCATGTGTGCAAAGTAGAAGTGCTTCATTGGATTTTCAAGGCTGTGACCTTTCAGAAGCAGATTGCCAGGCACCCCTAGGTAGGTTCAAACTGCCAACCTTTCAGCAAGTAATCAAGTGCTTAACTGTTTGTACCTATATAGGGGACCTTTTCCCCAAGGCTGCCTCAAATACCTTGTCAAAGGAATGGCTCATTTTTCCTGCACAAAGGAAACTGTATCATGAGAACATTTTGGACACAAGTGGAAGGTGGATAGGGAAACTTGGACAAAGAGGCCCCTGATTCTGTGACTTGCACAAATCCCAGCCCCCCAAACACAATGGAAGCCCAAGGAGGCAGATGGGAACACTATGTTCTATGCCTTGCTGGTCAGGGAACAGTGGAACCCATCCTTCAGACCATCCTGCCTCCGAGGCCCGAGTGTGCAGTACCACACCCTGCTCGTTCTCCTAGCCAAGAAACTCCTCATCTCCTGAGACCAGACCTAGGAGCAGCCAGCCGCCTCAGCACCCCTATCGCCTCCTTGCAGCCCACAGTGGTGAGTCAGGCGCAGCAGCTTAGCAGAACTAGTTCTAGTTCTGGGTGTTCTGTCCAGAAGGGGGGAAGGGGGCGGAAGGTAATGGTGTTAGCAATCAGTGACAGTGGGTCCCACTCATTCCCCAGTCTCTTTTACAACTTTGAACTCGGTATGCAAATTTATGCAAGACAAGATGCAAAGCAGCACTGGGAGCCAGAAGTCCCGGTGCTTTTTTCCCCTTGTTTTGAAGCTGCACAGAACCACTGTAAATCAGTGCTCGCCTCTGTCCCCCTTTATTCTCCCCCAGCAACTGCAGATGCAAAGCCTCCCCAGGCCCGCTGCCCTGGGACTCTGAATGACTGCACATTTCTATAGCACCTTTATATGTGCAGTGGGCCAGACAGCCACTTGGGAGGCTCCGCCCCTCAGCATAATCCCGGGCATTGTACAGGGCAGGGACCGAGGCAGGGAGATGCTTAGGGAAGCCGTCCAGCCCGGCCCGGGGCAAGTAGAGGCCCTGAATTCTGAAAGGGCCCAGCCTGGCCCAGGCCCACTCTCTCCTCTTCCCCACACATTTCGGGGAGCTTCTGCTCACTCCACTACCAAACACACCCATTTCTACAGCCCAGACCCTCCACTGACCTCAGGCCAACCTCAGGGTCCCCCTCCAATTTTTCTCCCAGGCTTACCTAACCCTACCCAGTCAGACCCCCAGCCTGACTCCCAGGCTTCTTTGAGCCAGCAAGTCCCAGCCCATCACCCCCTTGGGATCCAGGCTCACCACCACCCACTTCTTCTACCACTGTTGTGTCCACCCCCACCCCTGCATCCCTGCCATCCCCAGGAAGCCAGCAACACAGCCCCTGAGTCTTGGGAACAAAGACAAAAGAGCTAACAGCAAAGCCGGAACTGCTGGGGTTTGCTGCCTGGAAATAAGAGGATATGTTTAAAATTCTCGAAAGCAACCTGGCTCAACGGGGAATGCAGGCTGGAGTTGGGGGGGGGGATGCGTCTTTAGATGGAGAGGGGGAGCAGCAGCATTCAGTACTAAGGTCCCCCGCAGGGCCATGATCAGCGTGCAAGCCCCCAGGTTCAAACCCCAGCACTCTCCTTGCAGTGTAGCACACCGCCCTCCACAGACACCTCCATCCCTTCCCCTGCCCAAGAGCCTTTTCTCCAAGGGAGCTTGCCCCAACCCTTGCCTCTCTCGTCCCAGGCTTCTCTCAGTGTTCCCCCACCCCCACTCTTGTCCAGGTACCCCTGCACCTGGTCACTTTCCATTGGGCCCACTCAGACTCCACATCCGGCTCCAGCCTCTACCCCCAAAAAATAAAACCCTCGGGGTCTCTTCTTCCCTGTCTGGGGCACCAGAGAAAAATGTGGAAGGTGTCTGGGCACTGGGAGGAGTAGGAGACTGAGGAAGCAGCTGGGGCAAGCTGGCGGAAGGGAGTCCCATACCCCAGCAGAAAATCCAGAGTGACATTCTTCTCATGAACCTACCCCATTGTCCCCGGGCTCCCCTG